CCCCAAAACCCCAAAACCCCAAAACCCCAAAACCCCAAAACCCCAAAACCCCTTTTTATTAAAGTGAGATTGATCTGGCCAAAGTGCAAAGAAGCTTTTACAAAAAGTAATCTGGGGTTCTTTTGTTCACATTGGGCTCCTCAACTCTTGGAGCTGGATCAAACTGTAGGAAAGTGTACTTCAGATGCTCATCTACCTCCATAATGGCAGCTTCATTTCCGCAACGGTAACAGTAATTTGGAGCAGAGAAAATAGTCACGACATTTCTTTCTTGACTCCAGTTGTATCCATTCATTACAAGCTGATGAGCTCTTGCAATCAGCTTTAGATTATTAGTGTGGTTGAACTGTTCAGATATATCTTGTCCAAAGGTGTATCCAGCTCCTCTTGGGGAGATTCCCCATCCGCATCTATCATCTGGATCTGACCAAAGGAGATCACACATAGGCCCCTCGTGAGGAACTTCTTGTACTCTATCGAGTTGTTTAATCTGGTCCAAAGTATCAATACTTGGTGAAAGTCCACCGTGAAGGCAGAAAATCTGGTCTTCAACAACAGATGCGAGTGGCAAATAATCGAAAAGCTCTGTGAAGCATCTCCAAACATTAGCGTTTCCGTATTTTCTTAGGCATTCATCATAAAATCCATAAACTTGAGTAATCTGCCTAGACTCGTGATTTCCTCTCAAGATAGTGACTCTGTCTTTGAATCTTACTTTGAAGGCGACCAAGAGAGTGACTGTTTCAACTGAATAAAATCCTCTATCAACATAATCACCCATGAACAGGTAATTTGTCTCTGGAAGTTCGCCTCCAATTCTGAAAAGCTCCATGAGGTCATAGAACTGGCCATGAACATCACCGCAGATGGTCACTGGAACTGGAACAGAGACTACGCTGCTCTCTGAGGATAAGATTTCCTTTGCCATCTCGCAGAGAGCCTTCACATCATCTTCTGGCAGGGGTTTGAGACTAATATTGTAATTAAAAGGATCTGCATCTATAGCTGCCCTATCTGTATTGTCAGCTGGCTTGAAATTGATGAGCCCATCAATATAACTGTCCAGCTTCTTGATTGTTCCAGGAGAATTAGTAGATGTCTTAGTAGCCATACTAATTATTGTTAATAATTATTATTTTTTAAAACTTTCCTTGGTCCAGATTCAAACATCCAATTCTTTATGGGGTTTTGGGGTTTTGGGGTTTTGGGGTTTTGGGGTTTTGGGGTTTTGGGG